TGCACCCAACACAGGAGCACTGGCATTTATGAAGCAACTACTAAGTAAACTAAAAAAAAGATATTGACTCTAACACTATTATAGCAAGGGACTTGAATACTCCACTAACAGCCCTAGATAGATCATCAAGGCAAAAAATCAACAAGGAGATCCAGAACCTAATCTTGACACTTGACCAAATGGACTTAATAGATACCCACAGATTATTCCACCGAATAACCACAGAATATACATTCTAGTCATCACCACATGGAACATACTCCAAGACCGATCACATCCTTGGCCATAAACCAAGCATAAACAAATTCCATAAGGTTGAAATCTTGCCATGCATCTTCTCAGACTACAGTGGAATAAAAATAAATATCAACACCAACAAAATTTCCCCAAAGCTCACTAAGACACGAACACTAAATAGCATGATGCTGAACAACTGATAGGTCAACACTGAAATCAAAGAAGAAATTAAAAGATTCCTGGAAAAATGAAAATGAAGAAACATCGTATCAAAACCTCTGGGGGGATATGAAAACAGTTCTCAGAGGGGAATTTATGTCTCTACGAGCACACACCAAGAAAATGGAAAGATCAGAAGTTGAGAGCTTAACAAATCACCTAAGGGAGTTGGTAAGAGAAGATCACCAAAACCCCAACTTTAGCAGAAGAATCCAAATCACCAAAATAAGAGCCCAAATACAGGACATAGAAGACAAAAAATCATAGAAACATCAACAAAACAAAGAGCTGGTTCTTTGAAAGAATTAACAAGATTGATGGAACCCAGTAGCCAGAAACCAAGAAAAAGAGATAAAAAGCCCAAATCAACGCAATCAGACATAAAAAGATCAAATCACAACTGACCCCAAAGAAATACAAAAGATTATCAGAGATTACTATATACACCTATATGGAAACAAACTTGATAACCTAAATGAAATGGAAGACTTTCTGACAACACACAACTTCCCCAGGTTAAAACAAGAAGACATTGATAAACTAAATAGACCAATGACAACTCAGAAAATTGACTCTGTCATATGAAAACTACCTAAAAAAAAAAAATCCCAAAAAAAAAAAAAAAAAAATCCCAGGACTGATGGCTCTCCAGGGGAATTCTACAAAAAGTACAAGAAAGAGCTGATACCTATCCTATTGAAAGTATTCCAGGCAATTGAGAAAGATGGAATTCTCCCCAAATCATTTTATGATGCTAACATCACATTGATACCAAAACCAGGTAAAGATCCAACAGAAAAAGAGAACTACATGCCAATATCACTTATGGACACAGATGCAAAATCCTCAACAAGATTCTAGCAAATTGGATCCTAAAACACATCTCAAAAATCATCCACCATGACCTAGTAGGCTTCATCCCCAGGATGTAGGGCTGGTTCAACATTTGCAAGACCATAAATGTAATTAAATACATCAACAGATGTAAAAACAAGAACCACATGATTATATCATTAGATACAGAAAAAGCTTTGGACAAAATCCAGCATCACTTCTTGGTAAAAACCCTCAAATACTTAGGTATAGAAGGAGCATTCCTCAAAATAGTGAGTGCCATCTATGATAAACCAACAGCTAATATATTGCTAAATGGACAGAAACTGGAAACATTCCCTCTGAAAACTGGAACAAGACAAGGTTGCCCACTCTCATCCCTCTTGTTCAACATTGTGTTGGAAGTACTAGCTAGGGCAATTAGACAAAAGAAGGAAAGCAGGGGTATCCAAATTGAAAAGAGGAAGTCAAGTTATCCCTCTTTGCTGATGATATGATTCTATACCTCAAAAACCCAAGAGAATCTGTCAAAAACCTCCTTGCACTGATAAAGGACTTTGGCAAAGTCTCAGGATGCAAAATAAATGTGCAAAAGACAGTTGCAGTCCTATACACTGACAACAAGCAGGCAGAGACCCAAATAAAAAGCACAATCCCATTCACAACAACCACACACACACACACAAAATGAAATACCTTAGCATCTTCCTAACCAGAGAAGTGAAAGACCTTTACAATGAGAACTACAAAACACTGCTCAAAGAAATCAAAGATGACACAAACAAATGGAAAATTTTTCCATACACATGGACAGGAAGAATCAACATTGTTAAAATGTCCATCCTACCAAAGGCAATCTAGATTCAAGGCAATACCCATTAGTTTACCAATATCCTTCTTCTCAGAGCTGGAAATGACAATACAGAAACTCATATGGAAACATAAATGACCGTGAATTGCCAAAACAATCCTTAGCAAAAGAAACAAAGCAGGAAGTATCACACTTCCAGACTTCAAACTTTATTATAAAGCTACAATAATCAAAGCAGCCTGGTATTGGTACAAGAACAGGCATATAGACCAATGGAACAGAATAGACCAATGGAACAGGACCCCAACTTATCACCATACACAAAAATTAACTCTAAATGGATCAAAGACCTAAACATAAAACCTCAAACTATATATAAGAATCTTAGAAATCGCAGGAGACAACCTTATGGAAATTGGACTGGCAACCAATTCCTGATCAGAACCCTAAGTGCCCATACCATAAGAAATAAGATAGACAAGTGGGACCTCATCAAACTGACGAGTTTCTGCAAAGCAAAAGAAGCCATCAAAAGAGCAGGGATACAGCCCATAGAATGGAAAAAAAAATGAAAAAAATACTTGCCAATTGTATATCTGACAAAGGCCTAACATCTAAGATCTACAAGGAACTCAAATGTGCTGAAAGGAAAAAAACAAAAACAAAAACAAACAGACCATGAAAAAGTGAGCAGAAGACATGAATAGATACTTCTCAAAAGAAGATATATGGACAGCCAACAGACACATGAAAAAGTGCTCAGCCTCACTAATCATCAGAGAAATGAAAATCAAAACCACATTGAGATACCATCTAACCCCAGTAAGAATGGCTATCATTAATAGACCAAACAACAACAGATGCTGGCGAGGATGCAGAGAAAAAGGAACACTTCTACACTGCTGGTGGGAAAGCAATCTAGTACAACTTCTCTGGAAGACAGCATGGCAATTTCTGAAAGAACCATATGACCCAGGAATTCCCCTATTGGGAATATACCCAGAGGAACTCAGATCATTCTATAAAAAAGATACCTGGACACGAATGTTTGTTGCAGCTCTATTCACAATAGCAAAAACATGGAACCAACTATGCTACCCATTGAAGCTGAACTGGATAAAAACATGTGGTACATATACACAATGGAATATTGTGCAGCCATAAAGGACAAATATAAGGGCTTTGCGACAACTTGGATGGATTTAGAATCTATCATTCTCAGTGATCTATCACAGAAACAAAGAACAGAGTACCGTAGGTTCTCACTCATAAGCGGACCTTGAACAATAATCATACTACTATAAGAAAGGGATTGAGCCGGGCTCGGTGGCTCAGCCTGTAATCCCGTGCCTTTGGGAGGCTGAGGTGAGTGGATTGCCCGAGCCCGCGGGTTCGAGACCTCATCTCTACAATAAATCAAAAAATCAACCGGGCGTGGTTGTGCATGCCTGTAATTCTGACTACTCAGAAGGCTGAGGAGGAAGGATCGCCGGAGCCCAGCAGGTCAAGGCTGCGGTGGCTAGGAGCGGCCACTATACTCCAGTCTTGGCGACACAGTGAGACTCCAACTCAAAAAAAGAAAAAGAAAGGAATTGGCAGTAGTGCGAAACTGCCAGAGGAGTGGGGGCAGGGTTGGCAGTTGAGGGAAACTGCTACAGGAGGGAGGGGCACACCTCATCAACAAGGATACCTGCATAATCAAGGTTGTATACCTAACCCTGAATTGTACCTCACATTTTAAAATTAAAAAAAAGATGGAAAGTAACAAGTGTTGGTGATGATATGGAGAAAAGAAAGTCCCTGCACCCTGTTGGTGGGAATGTATATTCTCACAGTCACTATGTAAAACAAAACAGAGCTTCCTTGAAACATTAAAAATAAAACTACCATATAATCCAGCAATGCCATAACTGGACATATGTTCAGAGGAAACAAAATCAGTATGTCAAAGAGATATCTGCACTCCCATGTCCATTGCAGCAATATTCAACATACCCAAGATATGGATTCAACCCAAGTGTTAAAAAATAGATGAACCGATTAAAAAAACATGGTATATAGCACAATAGAATACTATTAACTTTAAAAACAAAAAGGAAATCCTGTTATGTGGGACAACATAGATGAAACTGAAGGATATTATGTTAAGGCATGAAAAGATAAAAGGCAAAAATATCGGCATGATCTCACTTAGATGTGCCATGTAAAAAAAGTAGAACTGATAGAAGCAGAGTAGAATGGTGATTCCCAGCTGCTGAGTGCAAAGGGGGGTGGTGGTGGGGAGTGGGGTTAGGAGATGTTGGTCAAAGGATACAAAATTACAGTTAGTCAGGAGAAAGAAGGAAAAGCGATCTATGTTGCAACATGGTGACCATAGTTAATAACGATGTATTGTGTACTTGAAAATCTCTAAAAGTATAGACTTTATGTATTCTAACTATAAAAAAATAAGTATGTGAAGCAATGCATATATTAGTTAGCTTGGTTTACCATAAAAATAGACACATATTATAATGCGTCATTCTGTACATGATAAATATATATAATTTTGTCAATTAAAAAAATAAAAAGTGAAATAAATACATGAGGGTTAATACAATTAATGCAAACTCATCCCCTCACTTTTTGCTCTGGACCTAGCAAAGCGATGAATGATCAAAGGCTCCTGAATGAGATAAGGGTCCCATTCATCTTGGGCCTCTCATCCTTGGAGGAGGGGGAAGGAGCCTCTTCCTCCCACTCTCCACTCAAACTAGACCCAGCCTCCAACCCTGACCTCTGCTCCAGATTTGTTAGGCAGGTCCAGGGCCATTCTCTCATGACGTGATCCTTCTTGCAGCGCAGATCCCCAGGCAAGATAAAAAGATTTGGGATGAGTACGGGTAGAGGGAACATCAGAATGGCACTCAGGGCTACGGCAGATGTGTGGATGGCAGGACCCTGGCTGTCCCTGCGAGGGGCACGACCACTGGGCACCAGAGCAGCTCCAGTCCCCAAGGCAGTGCTACCCTTCGAAACCATACCCCAGAGTCCAGGCAACAAGTGGATGAAGATGCTGCAGATCTGGAGGGAACAGGGTTACGAGAACTTTCACCTGGAGATACATCAGACCTTCCAGGAGCTTGGGCCTATTTTCAGGTAAAGCCCTCCCTGCCCCAGGCTGAGAACACCCAGAATCTCCTGGCCCTGCATGCTGCCAAGACATTTGTCAAGCTTTCAGCATTACCATTTCCAAGCTAGGTCCTTGAGCACTGTGTTCTTAGAGAAACAGGGAGGTGGGCATCGTGGGTTGTGTGACTTTCTCTTTGCTAATGAAGAGGATTGCTGCATGAGGGAAGAGCAACCCACAGCTCCTTGCAGAGAGGACAGAATTCAGAGGCACTGAAGTTGGAGAGGTAGATGGCAGAAAGAACATCCTGCTGTAAAACCACTAGTCCAGGAAAGGGAGAGGCAGGCTAGGAGACAGTCTGGGTTAGGTTTGCAGAGTGGGACCCAGGGGAGGACACGCCCCATCCAGCAGGGCTTGTGGCTTGCCACACAGGTACAACGTGGGAGGAACAGAAAGGGTGTGTGTGATGCTGCCGGAGGACATGGAGAGGCTGCAGCAGGTGGACATCCTGTACCCCCGCTGGACAATCCTGGAGCCCTGGTTGGCCTACAGACAGCATTGAGGGCACAAATGTGGCGTGTTCTTGCTATGAGGGGCGAGTTGGGATGAAGAGGGAGGAGGGATGGGCACCCTGGACACAGAGACCAGGCCAGACACTCAAGACCCAAGAGCACACCTGCATGTGGGGTGGAGTCAGGGGGAGCACCAAGCCCCCAAAGGGCCTTCTCATGGCTGTTGTGTCTGCCCTTTGTGGGGGAACAGAGCAGTTGTAGGGAAATGTGCATGGGCATCTTTGCAGATGATGAGGGAAACAATGGGCTCTTCCACATAGTGAACACCCACTGTCCCCAGGCCTTGGTGGTTGCTCTCTCTTGTAGGTAGGTGCAGGTTGGAGGCTCTTTTTCCCACAGGTCAGGAAACTGAGGACCTGAGAGGTGGTTCACTGGCCCAGGTCACAACCACCTGTGCCAGAGCCTGATGTCCACCAGTGCCACACCCTTGCCCAGGTGGCCCATGGCTCCTAGAATTATGGCAAGCTTTGTCACCGAAGACAGTCCAGGAATGAGGAAGATGGGGGAGCAGGTGGCTGCTGGCTCCATTGTTCTCAGAAGCGAAGTACGAAGCGGGGCTGTAGTGCTGGGGGTTTTGTGACCTGTGGACAGCGTGACACACCTGATCAGGTCAGTAGGGAGAAGGTGGTATTTGGAGTGGATCAGCTGCAGAGAGGTTGCCATTAGGACAGGAGAAAGGACTGAGCGAGGACATGGACTCATGACAGCTATCTCACTCCTTGTCGGGAAGTGAATTCTCTTGGGTAAAGAAGGGTTTAGAAAAATGGAAACCCCTGAGTAAGGGCCTTCACTGAGGGAGTCTGGGAGGTGTCAGGACCCAGGAGGTCCTCCTGGGTTGGTTTGTGTATCTAAAAAAAGGGTGTGCTTGTGTTTGTGTTATTTTGAGTGTGTACAAGTCTTGCATTTGTGCTCCAGTCTGTGTTTCTCTGTACATGCATTTGTATATGTTTTGAATATTCATGTGTGTCCATGCCTATTTGTATGTGTGTGTATGCATGGATGTGTGTGTGCATGGGTGTCCCTAGTGTGCATTGGTATGTGCATGCATGGATGTTGTGTCTGTGTGTGTACATACACGTGTGTGGGTCTATTTGCATACACATGTTTTGACGTCATGCATGGACACACACATGTGCACGAACATATCCCCATGGTCATTGTCATCACCCACAAGCAGCTAGGAATACAAAAAGAAGGTAGTTAGGCATGAATGTGGCTTAGAGTGAAATTCTT